AATTTACTTTGTTAAATAAATAGAATTTATATTTGAAACCGCGTTTCTTTAATTCGGAAAGCAACCCGCACATCATCTTTAGTATACCTGCATCAGCACTCGTTTTGGAGTAAACCGCAACATCAAACTGGTCCTTCCGAGCCGGATTGCTCACCCGCTCGCAACGTGTGCAAGTATAAGCTGTAATTTTTATTATAATTGACCGAGTGTCCACCGCTACAAAAACTTATAAAAATAAACATTTTGCGCTTAAATTAAGAACTTTTATTGTGCAGCATTTACGTACATGCATATATAGGAAAAGTGTGGTTCGAATTCAAGTTGCCCTACACTTGAAATTGTACGATTCCGACAACCCACAGTGACTTTTATTTGCCCTCTGCAAATTGCTTTACATTTGACATTGCATATCTCTTTGCCAAACATTCGCGCCTTTCATTTGCCCTCTGCAAGCAACGTGCTTGTACAACATTCTCCTTCAAACGACCCCTGAAGCAAAGTTAGCAATGTCTGCGTCTGTGAAAACCCGCGATTCGGCACTAAACGCCATTAAGAGGTACATGACAAAAAGCATAGACGATGCATTTGCCATGGACTTCGATAGCGTTGTAAGCTATTTGCAACTTCTCAATGAGCAATGGGCCCGTTTCAACACTGCCCAAGATGCAGTCGAAACATCTTGTGGACTCGACAACGCTGAAGTAGAGGAAAATGTTCGCGTGCAAGGCGAAACTTGGTATGCTACTGCCTTGGCCAACTTTAAACGTGTCCAGAAGGTTCATATGGAACCGGCAACACAACCCGCAGCTACATCAGCGTCCGTGTCTGCAGCAATACGATTGCCAAAAATGGACTTACCCACGTTTGCTGGTGATTCCACGAAGTGGATATCTTTTTATGATGCGTTTTATTCATTGGTTGACGCCAACACTGCCTTGTCGGACTAAAAAAAGCTCCACTATTTGCGTAGTTGCTTAAAGGGAGATGCACTTAGCATTATTAGCGGCTTCAAGATCAGCGACTCCAACTACACCGAGGCATGGAACATGCTTAAGTCCCGCTACAAAGTCATGAGAGTCATCGTTGAAGCACACCTCAGGGCGATAGCTAACATACGCAAGGCTACAAGTGACACCGCCGATGCCATTAAGAGTGTTCTCGATGCAATTCAACAACATATTCGAGAGCTCAAGGCACTGGGTCGCCCCGTAGAGTTCTGGGACGATTGGCTGGTGCATGAAGTGGTCAACAAGCTCGCGTTTGAAACTCGAAAGCAGTGGGAGCTATCACTAATTAGTGAAGAGCCCCGAAGTTTGAACAAGTGAGAACTTTTTTGGAGGTAAGATGCCGCTCATTAACGATGCTTACTACGCCCGCTGCTCAGACGCCCATAAGTCATTCGACTATGCCCAAATCAACTCGCAAATCAGCCAAGGTGTTTCACGCGATACCGGAACAGAACCACCCGCGCTGCATGTACTGCCATGCGGCTTCCAAGATTTATTCTTGTGAAAAATTTCGCAGTTTAGATTCAACCGCAAAATCTAAATTTATAAAAGAAGCGAAAGCTTGTCTAAATTGCTTGAGTCCTGGGCATTACAAAGAGCGTTGTAATAGCACATCCGCGTGCCGAATATGTCACCAACGCCATCATACGCTGCTTCACAGTATCGCAGGCCTATCCGCTAGCACCGTATCCACTCACGCTGTCGAGTCTTCTCACACCGCTCCGAATAGCATCGCCGCCTCTTCTGCTAACCAACCGACGAACACCGCTGCTGCATGCATTTCATCCTGTTTGAGTTCTGGTTCTAACCCGCTACCCTCAACGCAAAGAATAGTGTTATTATCCACCGCTTTAGTAAGAGTTCGTGATTGTGCCGGTCAGTGGCAAACTGCTCGGCTATTGTTTGATTCTGGATCTCACGCCTCCTTCGTGACAGAGGCATGCGTGCAGCGCTTAGGCCTACCTCGCAAATCGTCGTCGGTATTCGTCACTGGAATCGGTACATCGCAAGGAGGTCGCTGTAGAGGTGAGACGCTACTACCGCTTTCATCCTATAGTTCGGATGAATGCTACGCCATCAATGCATTGATTCTTCCGAAAATCACTGGTGACTTGCCAACGCAGACCTTAAATGTTCCAGAATGGCCGCATATTCATGGGCTATTCCTAGCGGACCCGCATTTTATGAAGCCTGGCCGCATAGATATACTGGTTGGCATGGACGCGATGGATCAACTTATCTGCATCGATCTTCGGAAGGGTCCCGTTGGCACGCCTATGGCACAGAGAACCGTTTTCGGGTGGACTTTGTTCGGAAGTGTCGATAGTTCTGCTTCACCCCAGCTGCATTTACCGTCACTGCATTGCGACGTTCAACTGGATCGAGCGCTTACTAGGTTGTGGGAGTTGGAAGAGTCTCCCCGAAAGCCGCATTTTACGCACGAGGAGCGCTTCTGCGAAGATCACTTCGTTTCTACGCATCAACGAATGCCAGACGGTCGCTTTGTAGTGGAGTTACCGCTGAAACCAAACGTGCCATTGGGTGAATCGCGAAATTTTGCTGTTCGCAATCTGTTACGCATCGAGCGAAGGCTGGCTCGTGACCACGACTTGCTATTGCGTTACAACGATTGCATGCACGAGCTTATTGAGATGGGTCATATGGAAGCTGTAACCGAGACGGAGAATAACGCATATTATATGCCGCATCACCCAGTGATCAAAGAGTCCAGCGTTACGATGAAACTAAGGGTCGTTTTTAACGCTTCTGCTAAAACCACCACAGGGAACTCGCTCAACGACGCCCTGTTTATTGGACCGCAATTACAACAAGATCTCTACTCTATACTGATGCGTTTCCGAACGCATCGGTACGCAATAACCGCAGATGTTGCGAGGATGTACCGCCAAGTTTGTGTATCGTCGAAGCACGTCGATTTGCAACGTATCGTTTGGCGCCCTGATCCATCTTCGCCCATAGTAGATTACCGCATGTTACGAGTAACTTATGGGGTGGCTGCCGCGTCTCATTTGGCTGTAAAGTCCTTGCAACAAACTGCCAAGGCTTCCTCCAACAGTTGTGAAGAAGCGGTATCCGTGATCCTCAAGGACTTCTACATGGACGACTTGCTCACTGGGGCATCTTGCAAGGCCCAACTTCAGTCACTACAACAAAATATCTCTGAAATTTTAAAAGAAGGAGGCTTTGAACTGCGAAAGTGGGCGTCGAACTACCTGGAGTTGAACGAGAGTATTTCCGGCGCTTCTAAAAGCATATCGCACTACGTAGTAGACGGTAAGGATGTTCATGCCCTTGGTCTAATATGGAGCATAGAAGGAGATCACTTCACATTCGCAGTCAGCCTGAAACAACAACCCGCCATTCTAACCAAGAGAGCATTCTTAGCCGATGCTAGCACTCTTTTTGATCCTCTGGGTCTGCTTGCTCCTGTAACCATAAAGTCCAAGATGTGGTTCCAGGATATTTGGCGCGCCGCGGTTGGATGGGATGATCTTGTACCAGACTCAATCGCGAAAAAGTGGCTTGATCATCGTGTTCAGCTGCAGATACTTTCAGATTTGAAAGTAGATCGTTGGATAGGCTCTGGAACGGTTGGATCGTTCACGGAGCTCCATGTATTTGCTGACGCTTCCGAACGCGCTTACGCGGCCGTTATATACGCGCGCACATTGCAAATCGACGGCAGGGTCACTGTTACTCTCGTCTCTGCAAAGACCAAGGTGGCGCCGCTCAAACCAACGACGTTGCCACGCCTAGAGCTTTGCGCTGCGCATCTCGCTTCCAAACTGGTGCGAAGCCTTTTGCATAGTTGGTGCCATCCCCGCTACCCGCTGTATGCCTGGACAGATTCAACCATAACATTGGCATGGTTACAAGCGCATCCCAGCAGATGGATGACTTTCATCGCCAACCGCGTTGCCGACATCCAAGAAATTCTGCCTCCTGAGTGCTGGAATCATGTTCGCTCGGAGTTAAATCCTGCAGACTATGCTTCTAGAGGTATATCCCCAGCCGAGCTACTGTGTCAGCAATTATGGTGAACCGGTCCTAATTTTTTGAAGGGTACCGGCTAGTTTTGGAAACTAACCTCCTCGAAACACCATATAACCGAATTGGGCATTCGAAACAAAATTGTCGCCCATGTCGCGAATTCGGGCGACCAGTGGTTGGTACTCACGAAATATTCCTCGTATTCGAAGCTGCGCCGCATCATCGCTTACGCTCTAAGATTTGTTGCCAACATCCGTCCCGCTACTAAACGCACCGCTGAAAAACGATATGGTCCTCTAAGCTGTGTGAAGTTATGCGAAGCCGAATTACGCTTGATTAAGTATACACAACACTTTTACTATGCTAACGAAATTTCTCTTTGCAGCGCAAAAAGGCCAATCCCGCTACGAAGTAGCCTGTTGCGCTTGCAGCCGTTCCTTGACCCGAAAGGTGTTCTTCGGGTAGGTGGGCGATTGAAATCCGCAGATGTCGCGCACGATGCTAGGCATCCAATTATCTTGCCTAAAAATTCTCCGCTATCAAGGCTAATAATATCCGACATTCATCGTTTTACGCTACATGCTGGACCCCGCATAATGCAGGTCGTATTGCAACGCCGCTACTGGGTGAATGGCGCCCGCAGCTTGATTCGGAGCATTTATCATAAATGCGTAAAGTGTACCTGTTTAAACCGCAATGCCTCCACACAATCGATGGGTGACCTACCTGCGTCCCGTACTACCTACGATCGCTGCTTCACACGTATTGCGGTGGACTTCGCCGGCCCGTATATGTACAAGTTCACGCATGGAAGGGGAGCAAAATCTACGAAAGGCTACATCTGTTCATTCATTTGCATGTGTACTGGCGCAATGCACCTCGAACTCGTAGGAGACTTATCGTCGTCTTCCTTTCTCAACGCGTTCAAGCGTTTCATTAATCGCAGAGGGTATTGCAAGACAATGTTCTCCGATAATGGTACGAATTTCGTCGGCGCTGAAAGGGAACTGCGGAGCAGATATGAACAATGCATGGCAGATGACACCCTTCAGTCATTTTTCGCCGGTTCTAACATAGAGTGGCGTTTCAATCCACCGACCGCACCTCATATGTGTGGATACTGGGAAACCGGTATCAAACGAATAAAGTACCACCTCAAACGCGTTTTGGGCGAAACTCTGCTGTCGTTCGAAGAATTCAGCACTTTATTGACCGAAGTGGAAGCCTGCGTGAACTCTCGCCCGTTATGTGAGGGCACAACAAGTGCAATCGACCTCGAAGCGCTGACCCCAGGGCACTTACCTGAGGGTCAAGGGTTCTGTGGGAATCTCCACCAGCGATGGCAGTTAATCTCTTCAATAAGACGGCACTTCTGGCGTCGTTGGAGAGACGAGTATCTCGTCAGTTTGCAACGTCGAACCAAGTGGTTTCGACCGTCTCGCAATTTCGCAGAAGGAGATGTTGTAGCTGTCTTCAACGAGCCTACTCCCCCGACAAAGTGGAAACTCGCTAGGGTCGTTCGATGTCACCCTGGAGCTGACGGTCACGTGCGAGTCGTAACCGTGAAGACATCTAATGGAGAATACATCCGGCCAATAGCTAAATTGTGCCTTCTTCCTACGAAAGGGGATCTATTTTGCGAAGATAAAGACTCATAGTATAAGAACCAAATTTTGTTAAAGCTTTTTCCACACTTAACATGTTTTGACCAACATTTCGTTGTAAACTTAATTTGAACATATCATATTTATTTAGATAGTTCAAGGGCGGCGGCATGTTGGGTTCGACTTTGTATTTTTAAGTAGGTATTTGATATTGTAATATGCGAGTGTTAATA